ATATGTGTATAATTTGTTGCATTATTCTAATACTCAGTAGTATAGAATACAAATGCGTATTGTCATAAATGCGTATGACACATTGATTTTTTCACATACGTTACTTCTTTAAGAACTTGTACTGTACGTTTTATCACAACACCGTAACTGAAGCGAACTGCAAGTTTATTTTGAGATATTAATTAACTTATTATACGTACGCTCTTATGTTTGAATTAACCAATTAACGTTAAAGTAAAATAAAATAAAATTAACGTAGATAACTTTGAACAAATTATGTGATCAAATTTTATTCTATTGATTAAGAGAATTGGAACAATATAACACTAGAAAAAGAAAATATTCTAACTTTAAAAGCACTAAATTATTGTAAAGTGACAAAGGCATTATCGATCGTTAATTGCTAATTAATCAATCAATTAAATTATTGATAGTAGTGATAATATAAAATTAAGTACAACACTACGAAAAGGAAATATTTTAACTCGATGACTTATTTCTCCTAAAACCTGATATTGCACGTTCCCTAAGTAATACGACTTTTTCTTCCAATTTTGCAACGGTTACTTCTGAAGCATCCACAAGCTTTCTATATCTAGCAGACCATTTGAACACACTTTTTGGTAAGTCTGATCCATATTTTAATACTTCCTGATTAAAGGATGTGATTTTTGCGTCAAGCATTTTATTGGTTTGTTTCAAATCATTCACAAGTTTCTCGTATTCGTCGGAATATGACACCAAAAATCCTGGTAACAATGCTGATGCTCTTTCAGCATATCTCACAGGAAATGCTTGAGCAATAACAACAAAAGATATCAAAAAAAGGGCTAGGATTGATGCGAATTTCATGAGTTTAAAGGTTTTTAAGAGTTGTCAAAGAGAAACTCTTGAACAGAGCAGAACATGCGTAAGATATTTATATCGATAACGTTAATATGGACGGTTAGGAATCTTCCGCCGGCCGGTTTCATGTGTATTTTAATTGAAAGGAACGTGAATGTTTCTTTTTTTACGATCAAGTTCATTCATATAGAGAATATTATCCATAATCGTTCATGCTACATGTACTTGACCAATCAGAAGTATGTTGCCTTAATCGGTAAGAAATTTTCGGAATCGTCATATATACGTATTCGTTGTCTACACTGTATAATGAATTTATGTTACAACAATCAAAAACTCTCAGAACCATGCAGTGTTTTGTAGAAATATTTTTTCTGTAAAGGCACTAAACTACCTGGAAGCTGTCTATGATTCTTGCAATTTTTCTAACCAACTGTATGGACTTGAAACTTGAGTAAGACGAATGTACAGTCAAACCTTATTTTGCGTAGGTTCAGGGAAAAGTTATCCCGTACGGTCCCGCCTTCTGTGAACATACTATATCAGACGGCCTTCCAGGAGAGCGACACGTCAAAACCAAACTATATCTTGTCAAGATGCTGGTCAACAAAATCACGGAGATGGAGATGATGGTGCCGAACTGTCCAACGACAGTAAACCTCACGTTTTCGACGCTAAAAAGAAAGATCATGAAAATTTCATAAGTTTTTAACAATGCAGTGTATCTATGTTCAGCAGATGCAGCTTAATCTTACTTTTCATAGTATGCTCATATTTTGTTCTTTATGGCACTTTCTATTTTTATAAAATATGTTTGCAATATGATTATAAGGTTGTAATAATCTTGTTACCATATTAATATTGTAATATGAATATATCTTTCAACGTATTAATTTTAAATAAAACTTGAACAAACTATGCAGTTTTTTGAGTTTGGATTGGAATTGGAATATATGTGATTTCTTAAAAAAACTTGAATATTAATTAAATGGTACACATTTAGACAACTTTGTAATAAGTAAAATAGGAAAGTTTTTTTATTCTACTTTATAGTATGGTGCATAACATCTAAAGTCATCAAACGTTTGTATTTTACAAAATGTATAAACTTCTTTACAAAGAAGTAAATGCAAAATTTAATCCGTGAATATGATAGAATAAGCCCTTTCGGAGCATATTCACGGATTAAATTTTGTATTTACTTCTTAGTAAAGATGTTTATAAATTTTATAAAACACAAACGTTTGATGACTTTAGATGTTATGCACCATACTATAAATCATCTAAAGGTTCTAAAAGGGTGTTACTATCCATAACGGGCTCTGACTGTATATTAATTGATACGTAATTCTTTTGAAATGGATAGTATTTTTAGAATAAAGCAAATATGACTTCATCTCATATAAAAAACGTATAAAATCTTCAATTTTAATCAAATGACTTGAAATTTTTATGAAAAATATCAAGTCAAGCTTTTTCTATTTTTCTGAGTATAAAATATGTAATTAATTTCACAATTTTGGTTTAAAACTCAAAATTTGCAACACACACATGTACTTTTTAATCTACATGTATATTAAAATCACATAATTTTATATGAAATTTTTGAAATTTTGATTTTTCTTAATTTTTTAAAATTGAATACGTAACTTTGTAAAAAAATTTGAATACTAGAGCCACACATAAAGTACAAGTACAAATACAAAAATAAATTATTAAAAAAATATATTTTATAATACTATCACTCAGAAAAATTGACAATTAATAATTATTTATTTCAACACATCCAGAAAGGGTAAACTTATATTCACAAGATGTTTGTAATATTATCTGATGCAGTTTTCATGTCATGTTTGTAGGCTGCTTTTAATGCTCATTTTCTGTAAAATGATCATAAATTATAAAATCTCACTATAGCAAATACTCCAAATATTTAAATATTAACAGTTCCAGTTCCGACAGAAAGTAATGGCGGTGAGATCGGTATGTAAAATTTACTATAATACTAGCATTTTTATAGAAGCAAAATATATGAATAAAGTGTTAGATTACTAACAAGACAATTAAAAAATAAAATAAAATTGTGAGGAATTTGCGAAAATTTAATAGAAGCGCATCATGGCAAGTCATTTTCCCGATTGCAGGTTTGTAAAACTTTTCTCAATAATCAGTGATCAGAAATTTATAAATGGTCTGATTAAATTCGTCTCAATAAGACGAACACTTTGGATAATATTTATCGAATTATTGCGATTTTTAGTTCAAGTTACAAAATTTTTAGACCATTAAATTTTATTCAAACTTGCATGGACACGGAAAGAGATCACATTTTAGGGGCATAATGCCCTACTCAAAGGCACTATCAAAATAATTTTTTATATAATTGAATGAAATATAATAAAAAAAACTGGCCGTCATTATTTTCCGCCAGAACTGTGCTCTTTTTACAAACTAACATCGATCTTTATTAAATACGTGTACAAAATAGCAATAGCACTGAAATAATTTAATTTATCGTTATACCAACATGAAAAGCAGGTCAAAAAAATTGAAGAAAACAAGAAACACAAACACTTTCCTATGGTATCGGATCAAAGGTCAAGAACATTCACTATAGAAAAAATTGTTCGGAAAAGAAGCCAAAGTTATTTAAATATTATGCTGTCGTATCTTTAAGGTATTCATTATTTCTCGATGCAACCCATTCCTTCAAAAATTCATCTCGACTTTGTAACCATAAGAAATCGTATTTTACTTTTTTTAGCCGTGGGAATTCGGCTTCCAGTAACGGTTGAACCATAGTTCTAGTAATATTTGTAATATATGCTATCCTAAATTCTTGGAGATTATGACAAGCTGCCAATCCATGCCAAGGTGGGCATGCGGCAAAATTAACATTGACAAGTTCTAAAGCTTGGAGTGAATTTGCCTGGCAGGATAATGCGTCCATGACGTGTGAAGCGCCATTGGCTAAGTCTACCACTTTCAAACTAATCAAGTTTTGTTGTGATTTAATAAAGGTGGCTAGATTCTCAGCAGATTCTATAATGCGTTTCGGCGAACTATCAGACATCCATATCTCTAAATGTTGCTATAACAAATAAATCAAAATGACTGTTATCAATTGAAATAAGAGTTAAAAAAAATTATTATTACTTACAATTCGATTACAATATTTTGTCAAAATAGACACGATTTCATTCTTTGGGAACTGAACAGCAAGTTCAAGCTTCGTAAGTGGTCTCAAGAGAGATTCATACTTTGGACATGCGAAGATTGAATACTCTGTACTTCGAAATCCCCTTATCGTCGATTTCAGTATCATGCTACGCATTCTTCCACCACCTTTCGCAACAAACATCTCAAGGAACACTTCTATCATCGCTCTAGCGATGCTCAAATCGAATTCCCTACGTAAAGGATGAAAGAAGACCGGCTCGATTGCTGCCATCATGTTTCCATAATTTATGGTAGTAACGAAAGAAGGATAATCGAAAATTGGATTTTGAAGCTGGCAATAAAGATAAATATCGGATACACCGATAGCATAGCGTTGATCTTCGTCGAGGAATAACGAAAAAATTTTAAGACATTGTTGATGTTTACGAATTCGACCGCTGAATGGGTCTCGCCAAAGCAATCGGATTGCGATTGGACACCATAAATTGTTAACTAAGGCACATGAAAATAAATCCGGAGTCTCAAGATTAATAAATATGTCGGATAGAATGTCGGATATTTTGAATATGGACATTTTTGTATTTTTTTATTTGTGACTAGGTATCATTATCGTTATAAATAAAAAATTAGCCAAGATGCAAAATGCCAAGACTGGGGTATCCTATAAACATATACTGCACAATATTGTATATATAATACTAGATTTGGAAAGTACTGTACTAGCGTTTCATAAATCCAAGATTCGTCATTATCGTTATCATTATCGTTCTTGGTATACTAAATAAAACAAGTCAAAGTTTTCTGGCTATTTTTATCAGGTGACCCATTAAAGTTACTATAAATGGAAACTGCGGTTAACCGTAACGGTAGATGGTTAACGTTAAAATAAAAAAGCTGGCTTAATTACAAACTAAATTCTATTAATAGTAACACAAATCAAAATTTGCATGCCAACCATTGATACATGTACAGTACGTACAACAAAAGTTCTTGTAACAAAAAAACAATAACGATAAGCAATAGAAACACTGACGACACAAGTAAGAGAAAGGAACAAGAACATGTTTCGTACAAAGCAACCAACAATAAACGTTACAAACAATAAACGTAACGGTAACAATAACGATAATACACATCCGCATACACAACATAAATATGTTAATACATCAAATGTGACACGATGAATTTACCGTCGCGCCAATCAAATCCGACTTTGCATAAATACCAGAATAGGTAAACAAAAAACCCGAACTATTGTAGAGTATGTATTATCGCCTTTTAGCGGGTTAAAAAACAAGGGAGCTCATTCTTTTCCTTTTATGTACCGGAGATCTCAAACGTTATAACACGCGATAGCATTCGTTATATTCAGAATAATAATATATTCGATACCTTTCTTTTTTTTGATGATTTGAAAAAGAACACTCGCTCATTTACGTATTCTTTTTCCCTTATTCTTTAAGATAATAAATTTTTTATGGGTTAAATTACATTTCTACTCAAAAGAAAATTTTCTGTCTTTCAGTTCTTTTCTAAATAAAAAAAATGAAGTGCAAGTCACTTTATATTTTCTTACTTTTAAATGTCTTAATAAATTTTTGGTTGGGAGAATCAGTGAATGGTCGTCCAGTAAACACAGCTACTAAGACACTTCGAAAATCAAAAACAACCTCAACCCCCATAGCAGCAGCATCAGCATCAGCATCAGCATCAACATCAACATCAACATCATCAGCGTCAGCATCCTCCTCGCAACGTTCGTCATCAACCACCAAAACTAGTGATTCGCCATCATCGACATCAATATCTATTACTTCAACTGCTACTTCTATTCAACAAATCGCTATCACATCGACCACTTCATCATCAAATACACTCAAACCAACTTCGACAACTCCTCCTGAATACATAAAAGTTTCGAATAAATCACTTCCGTTACCGACGATAATAACAATTATAGTATTGGGAATTTTTGTTCCTTTAATAATTTTATTCTTTTTTTGGAGGTTCTCTGCAAAAAAAGATTGGAAACGATTGTTCGGGAAGAAGCAAAATCAACAACCCGCTCAAAAAATAGAACAATCCGAACATATACTTCCTGAACTACTGACAAAATACTTGTCGGATTCCCCACCCAATAATTAGTTGATAAAGTACAAAAGGACTTTAATTATTTCTTTACCTACAACCTTACATATCATATAATTAGCGTTAGCATGTCAAATAATTAGCGATATATAATAATAATATTTATTGTAACATCGTGGAAGGGCAATTATTCGTTAATAAAATATTGCAGGCTAATATTTTTGACAATATATTTAACATAGAATGTAGACTTTTTGTATTTTTATCATAATATAATAACGATAATAATATATTCACGTGAGCAACACATAATAAACGAAATATCTCGTACATGTAAATTATTACAAGTGAAGGAAGCTCCATTAATTCGAAAAATAAAGTATACGTACGTATAGAACAGGATTAAACGAATTCAGATTTGGCCCAAATTAGAATAAGGGTAATGGTTAGTGCTAGGGCTAAGATTAATGTTGCCCGAATCATTCTAAATCCATTTACGCACCTCGATATGGATAGAAATTCAACATATAGTCACACTCCTCTATACCTTTAAATGCATGTTTTTTGACTTGGTCTTCTATAATAGATTTATCATGGGACTTATCGTTATATGCATAATGCATTGGTCTCGGGGGTATTCATTTAGAGAAGTGTGACTGTATATTATTCTTCAGCTCGTCGTCGTTATGTCTGTGAATTTGTAGAAAACTAATTGGATATCTTAACGTCATCAAGTAAAAATCTGTTTACGCCTATATAACTCTTGGCACATTTTTGAAACTAATGGAATTGTTACTTTAGAGAAGAAGTATCAAAGTTTATTTGAATTCGAACAATATAATTTTTTATAATTAATCGGATTTGAAATATAATTTGATTTCTTTGTCGTAAATTACGCTATTTTGCTAGTTTGGCTCGCGATTTTTCGCTCAAGACTTTAGATGATCAAGGCAACAAGATTAGCGTTAGCAAAAAAAAACGATCTTATATTTTGCATTAACTCAAATAATTCACGTGTTTTGATTTACGTATTTTTCTCAGCTTATTCTTTGTATTTACTTTTCAAAACGCACATAATATGAGAGCGAAACAATTTACGTATAAGCAAAACCGAGTAGACGGCTGCTGCTTACCAGAATGTTGAAAGAGTTAGGATAGAGTGTAATCGGCTAAATTTAACAATATCAATGAGTAGAGATGCAGACATTTCTCAGGTCAAGGGTGGGTTGCAATTTAGTTACGGCATGACTTACGTTATTTCATGTTCTAATGTCTGCACCTCTATTAACGAGACAACAACTCCATCTCTCCCTTTTTTTGTGAGACTTAAAATCCTTTTTTTTTTTTTCGTAAGACTTAAAAGAATAAATACTTTAATATACATGTATTTGTTTTTGGTCTAATTATTGTTATGGGCACAAATACAAATACTGTAATTAAATTAAAATAAATTCATGTGCACATGACCTATTGTCAATAAATTTCCAATTACATGTACGTACTGTACTTATTAATGCCTGTAATTAATATGTACATGTACCGATACGTATCGGTATACCTCAATTAACCAGATTTATCGTTATTTGAAAATTCATGCTTAAGCTTATCTTGATAAACCAGATAAATTTCCTTCTTCTGTTGCTTCCGGTTTACCAGTGTACTAAAAGGGTGATAAAAGCTATGATATAATACCGATACTAAAATAGAAACGAAATCTAACTAGATAACTGGTTCTTTATTTTCAACTTGTCGTTATTTTGACTTTGGTATCATTAAACTTCGCAAGTTTATAATTTAAAATTCATGTTTTTGACAGCCAAGAGTTGGAACCGAGCATTTGCTATAACGCTAAAACTTACATCTGAATTTCTGTAAAATGTGGTTGTACTTCGATTATTCTACAAACGACGAACCTATCAAAGCATATCGATATCCGATATCTGATTGCGCAAGTGTTTATAACGTTGCGCCAAAACATTGAACAAATCATACATACTGTATATATGCGATGTTCAGTACCTAATACATGTACGATGTACCCATGATTACAACTACGTACGTAACAATACCCCATCGATAAAATAGCCCAAGGTACATGTAATAAATATTTCAATGAGCGATTTGTGGCACACTGAATTCAATTCTTATCGACGACGCATTTTCTCAATACATGTAATTCCCCGATCAATAAACGGTCCGGTGTAACAGTTAGGAGATAAAACTTTCTCAACAATCAATTAAGTTCGTAACACATAATACCAATTCAATTCAATAAAAAAAATCGATTTGTGGATCCCTTATTTCAGTTGACATCATCAATCCGTTGATATTTTAGATCGTTAAAGAAAGTTTGATCATTGTTTACCGTTAACGTTAATGAAAGATAATTCACGTTAATGTAAGATAATTCACGTTAATGAAAGATAATTCACGTTAATGAAAGATCATTCACGTTCTAACAGATATCGTTGTTTCACATAAAATTTATTTATAAAACGTCTTTACGATTAAATCAATGATAACGATTTATAGAGACATGTTCATATGCGCGCGTTATATTATAGTGATACGAACAAAATCAAAAAGAAGAAAGTTAATTCCCGTATACCTGCAATGCGTATTGATATGCAGCATTTTGCAGTTGCGTTTTACGTATGGAAAATGTCATTATGATTTCACTTAGTAACGTTTATATAAACACAAATGTTTTCATATACATAATCCCAAAATTGAAAATGCATAATAATAGAGTCGACCTAACAGTAATACATGCATGATTTTATCGAAACCAAAATTAATACAAAAAATCTAATGTGCTTAATTTCAGACACCACCAATGATTTTTTTTGTGTTCTACCACTATCGAACGTTAGATACGATGATGAAACATCTTTAAAATAAACTTCATCCAAATGACATGTCACGTTCAAAAAATTGTACCAAAAAAGTTTAGCGCGTGTCTTAAAAAAAATAAATCTTTTGTTGTCTACAGCTAAGATGAAACGATAATCGTTATTGCATACCGATACATGCAATGCACGATACAATGAAATGCGTGTGTTCGAGCAATTTGTAATTTTCGGACTACGTATAACTTACTATCCCATTTAAGCAGTCACAGTGCACTTTCTAGAAGCCAAGAATGCCCGCTTCTTTTTATCAATACTTGACGAAGTCTACTGCCAAGGAAATTAGTCGCGACTTTTGCTTCATTTATATATATATATATATATTACACATCACATTCTTTTGATTCTGTCTTTACTCTTTTCGATTTTTTCAAAACGATAAATTCAATCTTTACAGGTTATATATACCATAACCTAATATTCAATAATACCAACCTTAATTTTATCATTTAACAATACCACTTAACAATAATATACAACAATAACTAAATCGTCAATTTAAAGTTGTATCATAAAAAAAAATAACATAATATATAACGATAAACAAACAATGGGAAACACCACATCCTCACCAAACTTTCTAAAAAGGAGACGTAAAACAGTAAATACTTCTCGATATTCTCGATGCTATGCTATCGAAAATACCGACTGTAATAATTTACCCAATAATGATGAGGAAGTTAACAGAATGGAAATACAAAGTTTCTTACATCGACATATGTGGAAAAAAGATTTTTCCTCTCCTATTGAAGAAATTTTGAATACTGGCGCTAAAATTTTGGACATTGGGTAAGAAGAAGAAGAAGAAGAAGAATAATAATAATAATAATAATAATAATATGAGCCACCATAAATAATAATGAACATTCGTTTTTGTAGTTGCGGTGATGGTGCGTGGTTAGCACAAATGGCGACAGAGTTCCCAAGATCAAGTTTCTTAGGATTAGATATATCTGCTATCGATCAAACAAAGTTTTATCCTGGAAATTTATCATTTATACAGAGCAATGTTCTCGATGGGATGCCTTTCGGTTAGTATTTTCCCTCTCTTGTATTGATATATAAAAGAAACTGATTAACTTAAGTTAAAATAGAGAATAGTGAATTCGATTATGTACATATGCAAATGTTGTCAATGGCCTTCACTGAGAAAGAATGGAATCAAATTGTGGTACGTAATGTAATTACTATTAAGTTTTTGAATTAATTTAGCTATCTATCTATCTATCGTCTATCCTAATACAATAATACGATAATACAATACTAGATACCTGAAATGATTCGAATTACAAAATCAGGAGGTTTTATTGAAATTATGGAAGTTGACCTTCTACCTAAAAATGCTGGTCCAAATTATATAAAAGTTGCTCAAGGCTGTAAGTTTATCTATACGCCTCTGCTTTATTATTGTTTTGTCGTGACTTTCTAATTTATTCCTTTACATAGTGTTAAAAGAACTTCAATCACGTGGCATAAATGGACGAATAACTGAATTACTACCAAGAATGATAGAGTCGACAAAAGCAATAGTAAATATTCAACAAGAAATAAAGACGCTTCCAATTGGAAGTTGGGGTGGTGAAGTGGGTGAAAAGCATCAAGAAAGTACAATGATTGTACTTCGAAATTTTGCTCCTCAATTAGCACATGCAATTGGCATACCGACGTATCAATTTAACGGATTACTTGCGAGTGCACGCGAGGAAATGGACGATGAATGGAAAACTTTTGTAAATTTTTTGAGAATTTGGGGACAAAAAGTGTGACCCTTTTGCGATTTTTATCATTACGTAGTAATACGTCTTGTTCTGTATGTACATACTATATCGGTATATCGATATCGAATCGATTATCAATAATATCTTTTAGCATCATGTCAAACGTATCACAGAACTTGTATGTTATTAAATTGATTTGCAATTACATGTACATGAACGTATTGTAAACTTACAATTTCTTAGGAGATATCCTCGATAAAAGAACTACATGTATATTCGGCCGTTTGTTGTCATATCACGTGTAATTGAGAATGACTATTTTTAGTGCATAGCATAAATAATCAAACATTGTCTCTATGTCATGTAGATCCTACCAACAAGAAATATCGATATCAGTTAATTATAAAATATTTAAATACTATTAATAAAAGAATAATAGTGATAATAATGTCTTGTTCAACTTTAATATCTACTTCAGAACTTGCCACACTGCTTTCCGAAATACTGAAAAAATGTGTGATAAGAGGAGACAAACCATTCTTCAAACGGACTTTTATGGAATTCTTCACCGAAAAGAATCTTGATCCAATCGAAATATTTGAATGGCTGACCTTGCACAAAGATCAAGGAGAAAATCGATGTCTACTTGCGGTCTTTTACGAATATGGAATCGGCACTTTTATACACGAAGACTCTGCATTCAAAAATTATAAATTGGCTGCAGAGGAAGGAGATACCTTAGCTCAAGCATTTCTTTCGCTTTGTTATTTCGATCAAATTGGCACGGTACAAGATGAAAAAAAAGCTTTTGCGTGGTGTAAGCGTTCAGCTGAGGGTGGAAACAGTAGGGGACAATGTACTTTGGGCTATTGCTATACATATGGAAGCGGGACGGAAATAGATTTAGTAAAGGGATTCAAGTGGACGATTGCATCAGCTGAAGGAGGAAGTGGAATCGGTGCTGATAATTTGTGGGTGAAATCTATGCTTTTGTCTTGTTGAAATACCGTTAATAATTTTTGTTACCTGTAGAGGGATAAAATACGAATTTGGAAGTGGGACAAAGATAAATCAGAATTTGGCATTTGAATGGTTCGAAAAATCTGCCGCTTTGGGGAATTCGAATGGCGAATATAATCTTGGACGATGTTATGACGAAGGAATCGGGACTGGCGTAGATGCAAAAAAAGCCTTTTATTGGTATCAAAAGTCTGCTGACAATCTTAATGCACATGGAGCTTGTAACTTGGGTAACATGCACAAATTTTGACACAAAATACATTTTTGCAAATCACTTAACCTTTTTTATTTCATTTCAGGTTATTGTTACGACATGGGAATTGGAACAGCAGTCGACAGAGTAAAAGCATTCGAATGGTACGAGAAAGCCGCAATTGGAGGCTCAGTCGCCGCCCAATGTAACTGTGGAAACTGCTTGTTGGAAGGCCGCGGAGTACAAGAAAATGTAAGGAATGCTTATATCTGGTACCGGAAATCTGCAAATGGTCTATATCATAAAGCGGAACATATGTTGGGATATTGTCACGAGTTTGGAGTTGGGACGCTGTTGGATATTCATCAGGCGATTATTTGGGGTAGGAGAGCACTGAAAAATGGAAATGTGGATGCAAAGGTTTCAATAGACAATATTTTTACGTTGTCTGGTTTCGTGGAATATTAATATTTTTATTAATTGTTTCTTGCTCATGTGAGATTTTATGTTTCGACTGATTTTAGTACTCTTGAAATTAGAAAATAGACGTGTCTAATTTATTTATTCAAGGTTATAAGTTAATGTACATGTACGTATATCTAAATAAAAAAGCTACGCTAAAATAAATTTTCATTTCAGCTTATCCTAGGATACAAGTGCATACAATAATTTAGAATTCTATTGTGAGTAAAATCTCTAATAAGACATGATCATTCAATATTTGCACACTGCTAACGCATACTACTCATCTTCACTAGAAGTATCAGACGGGAAATCCAAGGCATTTATAATCTCAATCGTGAGACTTCCAATTCGAGCATCAGCTTCCGGTTTACATATTTTCTTGTATCCTTTGGTCTTACGTATCTTGGGAAAATGCTCGATCACATATTTCAATACTTCCTCTTTTAAGTCATTCCATTTCCACGCAAATTCATAGAAAATCTCGGCTGCGTTCTCGATTGATAACTGATACAAAATCTGGCCTTTTGCCATCCCTCGAAGTTCCGAGATTAGGTATTTGTCGCTGATTGCGAATATTTTACAGCTCCATGAGGTTGAGTCGGTGTATCGATTTAGTACCACGTCAGTTGTATGAAGAAATCGAAGCATTGCCATAAAGACATCGCTGTCGAAATCCGTGACATCGACGACATATTTAATTTTACTATTTTCAATACATATTTCCTTGGAATGATAGTTTACAATGGAATCGCAAGCGTCCGAATTATCATTTTTGTCATTGGATGAAAAGGATGCGGATGATGTTGATTCTGCCCATTCTCGACTAAATAGACCTCGAAAATATTCGGATCTTGCCGAAAGAATGGACGTATTGGCATATATTTTTTTTCCTTTCGTGTTGAATACAACATCTGCGGTTTCCTTGTCACATAGCAAATGCATCCATGCATTGACAGCATTCCCGGAAAGATATTTTGGAGGAAAAGGGAAATCTGCTCGGTCTGATTGAGAGCGTAATTCTGTAAATGTGACTCCAAGAATGATCCTTGGTGGTAAATAAGCTCTCGTAAAATTGTAACCTTTTGAGGTCAATTATTATTTACTAAATTTATATAAACTGATTAAAGTAATAAAAGAATTCTTAAAAGAATTAAAAACCTAATCTTCCGGAGAATAGTGAATATTCTTCAGGTTCTATAAAAGTCTCGTAGATGTTGACATGACTTCTACAAATTTAATGATTGGATTCAAATGTGAGATAGAAGAAATAAATCGAATGAAATGAAAATATAATTTTACTTTTTATTCAAAGCACTCTTAAAATATAAAAGTGGTTTCATTTTCGCTCGTTCAATCCACATTGTATTTGATGTGCTCTCCTCGTAATTAGGTATGGCTCTCAACCAGAGAGCACAATGACCAGGTTCTGCTTCGTTTTCCTATAAAAAGAAATTTTTTAAAAAAAAATCAAATTCACTTATGAAAAATTTAACACTTACAGCTTCATAATTTAATTGCCAATACATGTTAGTCGAGGTGGCAAATGGTGGACTCCAAAACTCTTTAGTTGTTGTAAGAATTGTAAATTCAAATGTCGCGCCGACTTTGTCTTCATCCATAGTTTCTTTTTCGTTCGTTCGTTTATCTTCGAAAAAAAGGTATTAAATGTAAACGTTTAGCGTTAGTATTAGATGAAAAAATTTTCATTACTTGTAAACACGATAAATAAGAAAGTGATTGGCTGGTGATGAGATCATTGTGTGGGGAAATTGTAATTGATTCGCCAAATAAGATAATTTCGGAATCGGAGTGCAGATACTGATATCGATTACCGTTACGTACTTGATGTTATAATACATATTCGCGTGGTTGATGAAATTAGAAATGCAATTTCTAAATATAAAAATTGAATTACGTACTTGATTAATATCTTTGGAATTGCGGAATAATTATACAAATTCATATTAGGAAAAAACTGCTACTACTGTATATAACGATAATTGTTATCTTTATTGAATTGTGGAATAAATTTTTTAAGAGTTAATAGAAGGATGACTATATAAACAGGACAGGTGAGACTATAGATGGGTTTGACTACAGTAATTGAAAAAACGAGATATAATTATTATTGATTGTGAAATTAAGTTTATTAGAATTGCCGGAAATAATTTTTTTTTAATTTCCAATTTCGTACTCTAAAAAATAAATATAAAGTTTGTAAATATTAAGTAAAGTATGTAAATAAAAAATATTACATTCGTCTTTCATCCATAGCGATAGGGTTTTCTCGAAAGCATTGAATCCATCACAAATCACTCGAAGCGATTTCCGAACAAACCACACAACAATCATTACTTATCGTTATATGAACAATCTATACATTCTCCCAGAGTACCGTGATAAGTGCATCAATATCTGGAGATCCAAAACTTTATGAGAATTCTTTCGATAATTTTATCCATGATCCCGGAAATTGTTGTTGTGTGGTCCGAGTTGATTTGGAAATCGCTTCAATAGATTTATTATGTGCAGCGAAAATGTTGCTGTTGGTTGTAATGCGGCTGCGACTGTTGTGTGGTAGAGTGCGGGTGGTGACGGCGGCAGCATAGTAACAAATTTTCATATATTGCTCTCATCATTCTGTATCTGGGGGGGGGGGTACTATTCAAGTTCAAGGGAGGGGGGAGGTTTGAAAGTACCCGGGTACTATTGGCAGCGCTGTACGGTATGTAGCCCCCACCCGATTTGGTAATAACAAAAATAACCAATAGCATTGTGTATTTTCGGAAATTCTACTGTAATGAAGATTAAGGTTAAAGAATGGTCGACATTTTTTATTAATACTCCAAACTAGATTTAGGCATTTGTTTCTTGCATTTTTCACATTTCTCGTATTTTTCATTTTTGTGTGTCGGTTTGTTTTGCATTGTTATTGGCTGTTTTTTATCATAACAAAATCGGGTGGGGGTTACATAGATGTACTATATAACCTGGGGAGGAATCGTTGTAAAATAAACTCGGGAACATTTTTACCCTATTAAAAGGTTGCGCTATCATTGAAATTTAAAATCGACATTGTCCGAATTTAGTGTCGACATTGGTGCGACATTTTTGGGCCTGGTGGGTCCGGTGATCTGCCCGAGAAACAAGCAAATAAGAATATATCTTCCACACCACATACACTCATCGCAGTACTTATGGCATTTACAATCGAAACAGTTATTACTACAATCATGAGTATTATGAACTGAACACGCTTTGCAGTAGTTGTAGTGATTATGTTGACAACGCCAGCATTCACTACAATCATGAGCATTCGAAGTTTTAGATGCCATCTTTGAGTTTATGACAGTGTCTTATTTGTTTAAAAAAACGATGATTTATTTATGTGTGAGAATCGTCGTTCACCTCCGTTTGTGTTGTATCAATTTATGCATGAAAAATAAAATACTCTTTTAATATGTTGTAGGCGTAACATGTCATTTAGTGATAAAAATTAATAATTACATTACCATTTATTTTGAGATGCCATCTTTGAATTTATTTTATTAGTGTGGTAATGTCTCGAAAAATCAAATTTGAATAGATTTAAAAAAATTCTATAAAAGAATTTTTAATGCGAATTTGAATTACGCTATTTTAACTATATTATAATAATGAATGGTGCCATAATAGTCGAATTTATTTATTATTTGAAATACAGTCAAACATCTCTGTTTATAGTCACACCCATCTATAATCACCTTATTTTGTTTCTCATTTACATATAAATATAGTAAAAAACCCTACTTTATAGTCACATTCCCTCTATAGTCACCAAATTTTGCTTTTCTAAGTGTGATGACTATAAAGAGGTTTGACTGTACTGGCAGAACTTTGAACCTGGTGATGAAAGGTGAAGAAAATAAATTCAGTTTAAAGAAATACAAATATCTCCACATTTTGTGGATTAAATTGAATGAATTTGATATCATTAGAAAGATCTAGTCAAGATGCATCTAATGGTATCAAAATTATTAATTTATTTTGTTAGATACAGAGATATCACATCTTAAAAACATTACAAAAATTGTAAAAAATTTTGTACAATTTTGTAGTGTTTTTAAGATGTGATATTTTCACATCTAGTAAATCAAATTCAGTACTTTTAATACTATTAGATGCACCTTGACTAGATCTTTCTAATGGTATCAAATTTGGTTCACAAAATATGGAGATATTTGCATTTCTTTAAACTGAATTTATTTTCTTCATCTTTTGTTACCAGGTTCAAAGTTTAGCTAGTTTTTCAAATTTCTAATGATATCTCAAATATTGAAATTGTCTTATGTACAAACTAATTCAACATGTGCTCTAATTTCTAATATCTGTCTATTTGTACAAATCAAAGAACAAAAATCTCTTTATCCTCGATATATAAGTTTATCTGCAACGACTCATTAGATAATCATAATAGTTTATGACATATGCAAAAAAAAGCTGATATTATAATGGAGCATTCCAAATGTTTAGGATATAGACTATTATTTTTCTTTTAGATTCAGATTCTTTATCATTCATCATTTGCATAAAAATAATATTTATCATGTGTTACTTGTACAAACTTCTTCTTTTCTGATTCAAGATATTATTTAATATAATATTCAGCATATTATCATTAAAATCCTTTATACACCTCTTATATTTGAATATTCTTTTTAATTAATTCTTTCTGTATATTATTATATCTAATTACTTATATTTATCATAATAAATTTCTTTTCTTTTTTTATTATATCTATATCTCTATAGATATATATAATTTTGACATTTTTTCTTAGAGATTGTATCTTTTCTGATGTGCTCCATTATTTTTGAAAACAATATTTTCTCAATATATGCCTTTAGTATTTTGAGTAATTATGACTTTGATGCTTGCTACCATAACCATACTTGACAATCTTTCATGAAATTTTTATCATTAAGCAAACTTTTCAATTTTGTATAGTGGGAGACAGCATAAGATATCCAATACTGCGCCATAGCGCCAAATTTTAAAATGCAGATTCTCACATGAATTATGACATAATCATTTTTAAACCAATAAGATTTAAGTTATAATAATATGTAATTTTAAATTTTCATGTGATTTATGATGCAATCATTTTTAAACCAATAAAGATTTAATAAACATGATTCTAAATCTAGTTATATCATCATAATAATAATCTAATAATAATAATAATAATCAAGACTATACTATAGCATAATTAAATAATAAGAATAAGAATAATAATAATAATAATAATCATAATAATAATAATTATCATCAATCATTAATGATTGATTAAAAGAAAAATAAAATAAACATCTTCAGCAAAAAACATACTGTTTGGAACGATTGATCAAAAAATCATTTTCAGCAAAAAATATTCATTCGGGATGATTGATCAAAAGAAAAATAAAACTAATCATCTTCAGCAAAAAACATATTATTTGGGACGATTAATCAAAAGAAAAAAAAAAGTAACCATCTTCAGCAAAAAAACATACCATTCGAAATAATTGAAAATGAATATAGAAAACAAAAAATATGCGTATCATTGATTCTAATTTTTTCAATCATCTTTCCTCTCTCCAATGGAAATTTAAATCTAATTTGTAATGATAAATGAATTCAAATCAGCCATTTTGTGCATTACCAAAAATCATATAAATATTTTTTTTCTTATCAAAAACTTTAACTTAGCAACTTATTCACTTGATTCATAATTTCTTCATTGATTGATCTGTGTTTCTTATGCTTCTTCACTGCATATTCAGCTGCTTTTCCTGTTAAACCATGCCAATAAGTGTCCATCCACCTAAATGACAACTTAGCGAAAGCATGAATTCTCTCCACAGGAATGGAATCAAACATTTGAGAAATTGATTTCTTGAATTTTGGCAATGAATATTCACAATGAGATTGGGTATACTTCTTGATCGTCCCCCAATACATTTCGATGTAGTTAAATTCAGGATGAAACTTGGGGTAAAATATAACCTAAACAAATCCAAGAACAACATTATCGAGACAAAGAATAATGAATGAAAAAACAACCACCTGAAGCAAAAAAAAAGGTTACCTTATGTCTACGAAATTCAATTTCTTGTTGAATCTGATCGTATTGTGCAAGGAAGTCTGGCTGATTGGTAATTAAACGACATGCACAGCAATCAACAATATTAGGTTCTGACTCTCTCTTTTTGTACAAAGTGCATTCTAACATCATCCCGTCCCATCACAATCCTCTTTCACTAAGAACCCACTGGATTCCTTTAGGTTGACCATGCAAATTGATATTTGATTTCATTTTCTTATCATAAATAAAGTAGTCCTGTTCAATAATCATTAATTGATGACTACCATTCCATACCATATCACACATTTTTGTGACTGATCCTCCCAGACCAAGATTCATTCTCAAAGTCACAAGAGCATTATCAGTAAAAGCTGTATGAGAAGTAGCATTATCAAAAGCAAATATACCCACGCATCTTGGATGTGTTCACTCAAAAACATTTATCACCTGTCTGACTTGTTCAAGGAGTTTTTTCGCATCACAATATCCATTCTGATTAGCACCTGGAACCATCA